ATACTTTCCGACATCCGACAACTTCCCATAACTTTCAACAGGATCCCGTCGATCAGCGTCGACCTGAGTATCTTTGAAATGCAATAAGGCAATAATTTAAATGTTAATAAATATTTCTTGCTTGTAAACAGCTTCTAGTTTAGATTTTTGTTATGAAAAATGACAATTTTCTTACTGTGATATAGAACTGTATAAAAGAGAAGAGTTGATTTTATTATTCTTATTTTGTTGATAAATCTAGAGTACTTGTGCCGTTTTATTTTATACGTGACTGTTCTTATTTTTTGCGAATAAAAACTAGGGAGCAGATATCGTTCAATGAAAAACTAGTTGTTAACGTTTTTTTATGGAAATTAACAGAAAACGCAAAAATGGCGAAAATGAATTGACTCGACTCGGAAATATTAGTGACTAGACTTGACTTGACTTTACGCTGTTATGAAATGATTCGGACTCGACTCGACTCGAAAAATGGCTTGACTCGCCCATCCCTGATGCCATGAATATGTCTTTTGACTAGAGTCCGTTGGGCTAGTCTCAGACCTAGACCCGATCGGAGATTCGAGTCTGAAAACTTTGGATCTGATCCGCTCTACTCTACGCATTTGTTAGATAAATGGTCTGAGAATGTGTTGGATGCACTAGTCGTCGAATACAAAAATCGGAAAAAAATATTTTAAATCATTGGAGCGGCTATCCTATTCCGATTAGAAGTTTTCAGTAAAAACATTAAAATACGGTTCGACCGAGTTCACATCCGAAAATATTGGACCCGAAGGACTCTTCTTTTGACATATGATACATTTCTAAAAATATAACTAAATCCACAATCAAGATAAGTATATGAGCTTTGAAAAAAAAATGATTTATTACGTTAATTTCGAAATTGTTTTCCATCACTAGATAAAAGTATATTTAACAATCTAGAATATCTATTTGAAAAAAAATTTTCTTCAAATAGTTTTACTAAATCTAATTCTTTATTTAATAATTGTTTTTCATCTATTGATAAAAATTTTATTGCTAAAAATATTAATGTTTGTCTATAGATCCATAATGATTCTCTATCATAATAAAATTTTAACATATTTTCATTAAATTTTAATTCATGTTCAATTATAATTTCATTTAAATCTTTTTTCGATAAAAGATAAGCACGAAATGAAAAAGCACTTGAATCTGATAAATTCTTTTCTAACCATAAACGATTTCGTTCTAATTCTTCATCAATATTTATATTGAAATATTCAATAATCCATCTTCGATATAACCATGATGCATAATTAATAAAATGTTTTTCAGCTGTTCGATCACATATTTCTAATTCTTTACTAATTAATATTTTAGAAATATTCTCTTGTTTTAATATCCAACGTCTATAGCGAAATAATTGTTCACTTTTAGGTTTTAAATTAAGAAGAATATCTAAAAATTGAAGTTCTTCTTGAATATTTATTATACCAGATAAAACTAAACGTCGACGTATATTCCAACTCGTTAAACATTCAGTTACATAAGAAAGTAAAACACGTGTTGAAATATTTAATTGATTATATTCTTGATAATCTTTTGAAAAAATAAATGCGTAACATAAATTAACAATAGATTTTATTTCAAATAGATTTAAACATAAATAAATATTTTCTTCACAATGACAATACACAATATACTGTTCAGTTGATGTTAATGGCATCAATTCAATCGATTTACATTGTTCAATTGATGATGAAAGTAATGAAAGAAGAGACCAATCCGTTAAAGACATTACCTTTTGTTTTTTCTTAAACTGAAATAATTTAATTTTTTTGTTATTTCAAAAAATAAAAAAACATAAAACATTTTATTATTTTCTTCGTTTTTATAAAAAGAAAAATAAACCATTAAATTAATCACTTTCAATTTCAAATATGTTTTTAATTTCTGCTCGACAAATTGGACAAAGTTTTGATTTTCCTTCAAATTGACTTTTACAGTCAGAACAAAAGAAAATATGACCACACGGAATCATAGCACAGTTTGCTGGAGTATCTAAACATAACTGACATAAACCAGCATCATCATCTTTCTTTTTCGGTGTGGGCTGAACCGGTACTATTTTAGTAGATGAAACAAGGCCAATTAAAGACAAAGCCATTATACGACCATTGAGAAAAAAGAACGGATAAAATGCTTGACTTGGATCAGCAAATGCTACGGTTCTTGTTGGTACGATTGATTCATTATTACGCCACATACGAATTTCACCATTTCGATCATATACAAAACGATATTCATCAAGTTCACTTAAGCTTTCATCAAATCCATCTTCGTTTATAATCCAAAATTCAGGACGATCATATAAACCCATTGGATCATCAGCTGGTAGTTTATCAATATTTTTAACAACATTTGATGGTTCAGCAGTTGTAAAGCCAATAACTCCTCTTTAAAAAAAACAAACATTATGAAATTGAATAAAGATTAAAAATTAATAATTTACGGTGTTCGATAGTTCAAATCAACGGATAAAATACGTATATAAAGTTCATCATCAGGTCTCATTGGAAAATTAATAAATAGATATGGTCGTGATAGTCTTCGAACATCTAATTGAAATATATTAAATATTTTTTATAATATAAATTTAAACATACTTTTTCGAAAAACAACTTTATTTTGACAATATAAATCAAGTTCAGGCCCATGAACATCATGAAAAACAACAGATTGTAGATTTGTAGGTTTTAAATGAGTAAAATATTGAATTGGTAGTTTATCTGGTTTTTGATCATATTTGATAAAAAATGTTCTGCTATCAGCAATTGTTTTCGGCGGAGTGATCAAAACGGCACCTAAAGAATGTTACAGTTTTTGATAAATTAGATAAGTTTAATTGTATCAGTTTAATGTTATCGAAAATCTTATATTTAAATTGGTTTTATAAATGATGAATAATTCACAATAAAAATCGAGATCAATTTTTTGTTATGAATTTCAGTTGCAAAGAAGTCTATAAGTTCACAGTTTTAGGTCTATACTGAGAAAAAAAATGTCACACACCGAAGACCGTTATGTTAACTCGTTTTCTAACTTCATAATTTTTCGAACATTGTTTTGCTCGCAAGTCGGTTACATGTCTTTTTCTTAATAATACCAAGTCTTTGAAATTATAAATAGAAAGAACAATTATTTTACAATAATTTGCATTTTCTGTTTGACCATTGCTACTCATGTCTAATAATGACTCGTAAAACAGATTAAAATTCTTTACATATTTATTTAGTAACATTAATTGGATATGATTATGAAACTAAAATAACTTGTAGTGAGCTTATTAATTTCGAACGAAAACAAAGCTGTTAGCGCAATCCCTGCAGAACTTAAATATGAAACACGATATAGTTGCTATTGCTAGCCCCAGAAAGACTGTTTTATTCGCTCTATTTTGGAACATACTTTTTTATCATCGTTTTACTTAATCCTCGAGAAATGCAATATGGAAGTAGTTCATATATTATAATGAGACGTTATCAATGTACGGTGTGTAATCGTAAATCAATGTCTGTTACAGTCTGTGAAGTAGTTCAAATTTTTACTGCTATACTTCACCACTCCTTTCAGATCGTGTTTCATAAAAACTCTAAGCTATATTGTTACCTTGTTTACATACGAAATTTAAGAAATTCTTACTAACAAGCGGGAAGGAAGTTTAGCGACAAAACATTTGTTTAGTTTTTTGGCTTCGTTGAAAGTGTTTCTGAGAAATCAAAAGCTATAGATTATGACCAGCATATTGTGTACTTTTCGAATATCAACTTAGAAATTTTTGTTTCGGTTTTTGTTCGAAAAAAAGTGAATTAATCTTTGAAACACCTTAAAAAATGAGTTTGGATGGAAGATCTCTTATGTAAATAGTTGCTCATTTTAATCTACTTGAAAGTGTCACAGGCAAGCCAAAACCTTAGAATGATAACCAGAATTTTGTGTTCAAAATTAGAAATATTGTGCCTATTTTTGTTCGGGATTAGTGAAGGAAATTTTTAAAAGCCCAAAAAATTAGATTGCATAATGAACCAATAGGCTTTTGCCAATCTCTATACATGTCTTTTCCAATGTGACAAATATTATCGTAGTCGGTTGTTTTGTCGAGTAGACATATCTTTACAAAATTTTTAAATTAATTAAGATGTGACTTTTTATTTAAGTGAAACTATAGGCACTTTGCCAAGAACTTCTTTTTATACAAAATACCTTTTGGTCAAAAGGTTAGTTTTTCAAAAACGAAGATTTAAGAGAAACGAAAATGAAGTAACCTATAGAAAAATTCTAATAGTACATTTTGTAGGGTGACTTCTGTTCACTAAGTGGAAGTACTAATAAAGGTATCAACATTTACTTTTGAATTGCAATAATGAAAGTACAAAAGTGTACGGAAAAATTTTCCGTTCAAACTCTTTTTTTGGGCTTTTCAATACATAATTTCATTAGTCTCAAGAAAAATTTCGGAAAAAATTTCTAAGCCTACATTTTGATCATAACTTTATAGCTTTTGACTTCTCAGAAACACTTTCAAGATTGTCAAAAATTAACAAAAACTTTGTCTCAAAACTTTCGATGCATACATTAATTGAACAATTTTCAATCTTCTGTGTGAGCAATCATTTTCTTGGTTACTTCATATTCTTGCTATGTCATAATACACATAATCAGAATCGTTCTATTCTAGTCTTTGCCTGTGACTTTAGTCAACATTTAGACAGCGAAAGTCGTCAAATATATATCGAAATCTGGAATTAACTTTGAAATGTTGTACTATTGTTTTAGCATCCATTTTGTCTCTAACAATAAGCTCCTTCTTTAGCTGCTTACTTATATATAACAACGTGCTAATCACTTTTTTTTTTAATTTCAATTTAAATCAAATAGCTGTTTTGATTTTGATATCATTCTACTCATATCTAATTGTCTTCTGAATTCGAATTAGTACAACTTATTTTATTTCCAAGAAATTGTTTCATATTGTGCTGATTACAGAAATGTTCAGATGTATACCTTTCACATTTCCGTATAGATCAATAATACCCCACATTGGGCTTTGTACATCAATATTCTTGCAAATTTCTTGTTCTTTTCCATCCAATATATAAAAAGCTCCTCTAAAAAACAAAATAAATATTTGATTAGTATTATTAAATAAAAGACTAACTCTTGATTATAATAAAATGTGATCACAGTTTGTCTTGTTAATCTTTCAAAAATACGTTTAACATAAGATACTCCAGTCTTTTGACAAATACTTGGTATTGCAGATTTATATAATTCATGTCTTTGAATTGAACCTGGATCAATTTGAATAAAACCTAAAATGATAATTTTCAAATATCAAAAATTTCAATTATTTCATTTTTTTTTTACCAATTGCTAATGATCCTAACCATTGACCACTTTCATCAATATCAACAATTTTCATATGTACATGTTCATTCATTTTAATTTGTTTATTTGTAAATGTAATACCTGTCAACAAAATTACAATCATTAAAATTAAACAAAGAAACAAATAGAGAAATAACCGTTGTCAAATGATGTATGTCGAATTGCTTTTAATGCATTATTATCTAATTGAATATTTTGTCCAAATGTTTTTTGATGAAAGAAAATCGTAGGCATTGCAGACTGATCCATCATTGCTGACAATCGTGCCATTCTAAAAATAGAGATATTAGTTTACTTTGAACATATTGCTCGCATTTATTCGTATGAATAGACACACAAATGGCACTTCGAAGGAGTATGAACTGTATGTACAGCTAATAAATATTTTCAAACTTTTTTTTCGTTCAAGTCAATGGAAGGATTTCTTCCAAGTCGTCATGCGAATGAAAATGCGTCAAACCATTCACTTTTTAAATACTGCATATAGTGACCTCTGACGTTGAAATTCTTAGTCATAAAAAGTTTTTTTCTAATATTGAAAACAAATTTGTCTTATTTAATTAAGCAAGAAGTAATTTGATGAATAAAATATTTTATGAAACTGATAAATATTAGAAGGTTGTTATTCGATTGGATACATTGAGCCTCAAACAATGGTGTGTGTAACTTAGCTTCAACTAAATAGAATAAATTACATCCATGCATAGAAATGATACTTTGTTTGAAGTTTTCTCCCTATTAGCCAAAGTATTACGTAATACTCAATATTTTTTATTTACTTTAACTCGCACACATGTTCTCTAATGGTTATTGATAGTTTCGAAATTTAGTTGCTGCCTATTGACTCAATGTCTATTAACACTAGATGACCCAAAGAATCAGTTGCGTGGTACCGTAGTCATGTCTTATTGTTTTTAAATTTATTACATGGCCACCAATGTATATCAACCAGCTCGTAAGATTTTTCGATAATCACTTGAAAAAAAAAACATAATGTTCTTTTCTAGTTGGTGATGTTGTCCGTAGTGGAACAAATCTTAGTGAAATGTCAAGGCAATATTCAACATCAGATATATCATCCAATAAAACATCGAAACATTAGTTGTAAACCATCCTTACAACAGCTTTCGTTGAATATTAAGTGAATTACATTTAATAGCCAATCAAAACCTACTGCAACAAATCTTGACGCTGATAGTAATTTAGAAACTCTGGAATTTGGCCATCGGCTTTTGGTTAATATTGAAGTTCTTTGAAAATTATAATACTAATCATTATTGCTGGATAGTTTATTGTCCGGTTTTCAATGAAATTTGAACAATATCAAAGTTATATAAGTACAAATACAATTTGTATTATGATTTACATGTAGTATTACATGACACAGTCATACAGATACGGACATAACTATATGTGATATTTTTCCCGAAGCTAGTATCGAGAATTTCGGCTATGTACTATGAACTGTGTACAATTTTTCAATATGCTACCTCAACACTTAAGTCCAGTCGATATTGTTCCAATATAATTTACTTTTATGTTGTGTTTCTGTATTTTTTAGCTTTGATTATTAGTTTCGTCTACCGTTTTAACTATTTCACGAAGTATTTCTGAATGATTTTCTTCATGTATTAATCAGTCTCGGGTTTTTTCTTGTTACTTTAGAAGCATTCATAAGAGTATAAATTACCAAAGAAAAACATCATTTATGTGGTAGAATGAGGTAGACGACGGGTTATGACACAAAATGTATTTCATACAAGTCTCCTGTATGCTCTTAGGCTAAATATTGAAAAGAGTTTCATTTGGACATTAAGTAAAATGGAATTCGGTAAAGAATAGTACAGCTGTTGGAGTGTTATTTAAATAATGAGTGAAATAATCCTTTTTTACCTTCATCATTTCTTGCTGTACTTCACGAATCCTCGATTTCTATCACACATCAACATAACAGACTCGAACAATATTCTTCTTTGATGATACATGAGGCGTGGCAATGAGATTAACTGTAATAAACATAAGATGAAAAAAGTGGTGTAACAGAGTCACAGTACATATTGCAAATTCTATCTGTTGGCGAATAATCGATATTGTTGTGTTAGTGTCGGTATGAAAGTGTATGAGAACGTGTCATAATAAATTTAGGAGTAAATATAAGTAACAATATAAATTGTATTTGTACTTATGCGTTTTTGATATTGTTCGAATATCGATTGAAATCGAATAATATAACAATCAATAATAATGATTATTATCGTAATTTACAAGGAATGTTTTATCCAGATTTTCTCTTGCGAAGAGTCGATTTGAATCTCCAGAAGTGCGAAAATCTATTTGGGGAAGCACACACATAGTACGGGATATAATAATCACAAACTTCATGATTGCTAACCCGATGTTCGGAGAGATACCGTCCGTTTGACTTCCACAATTGGATAAAACAATATTTACAAGGAATTTCTACATCGTCAAAATTACGATGCCAAAAATCGGCTTTGTACGAAAAGAAAAACAATAACAAATTTCTTTTAATTCCCTAGTCAAATCAAAGTTTCACTCGAATAAAGAAGACAATGAGAATAAAAAAAAACTGAATGGTTGACTAAACTAACTTGTATAAAAGAAAAAGTTACAGTTGAATCAGTTCGACTTGAACAACAGAAACGTTTAGAAGAAGAAAGAAATTCCTACAAAAACTACTCTCCAGAGAAATCTTTTATTAAATAATGTATCTAAATCATCATTGTAAACAGCATCAAATGATTTGCGTGGAAAACATCCTTGGAATGCCGTTTTTCTTTTTACAAATTCTAATAAAGTTGATCTTACATCTAGTGAAAAATGTTTGGTACAAATCTTCTTAATGATCATTTACGTATTAATTTTCATAGAGATTTTATGAACAAAAAAAAAGATTTTCTTTGATATAAATAAAAGTGATTATTGTTCGGAAATTTTTTTTTGTGTTTTAGATATAGAAAAAAAATGTCAGAAAATATACAGGAAACGGTAAATAAAATTATATCGAATAGATATTTCTATTTAAGATATTTGTATTAAGATTGTGGAATTAATTAATCAAGCATCACTCTATGGAAAAGATAGTGTTAGAGTACAACATCTTCGACATGTACAAGAACTTATTTTACGAAAAGATCCAAGTTTACTTGATAATTTTCTTGAAGTATATTTATTGAATTTAAAAAGAAATATTCATATTAAATTTTATGCATTTAGGAAGTACTTGGTTTTCAAACTGATAAAAGTCCAGAAGTAAGAAAAACTATCATATCATTTATTGAAGAAGCTTGGTTAGTTCTAAAAGATATTATCTTTTGTTATACATATATTTATTTATTTTTCTAGTCAGCATGATCCAGAAGTTATTGTTAAAGTGATTGATAGTCTACGACTTTTACTTTATGATGATAATGTACTTGTACAAAAAAGACTTATTGTTAGTATGATAACGATTTATAGATTGACTTTAAAGGTGAGACTTTTAGTTTTAATAATTTACCAATGAAATATAAAGAATTTTAATTTGAAAGAATCGATCTAAGAACTAACTGATATGAGTTAGTCATATTTTCATCTTGGCTATGTGTATTTTTACTATTGTTTAAGTACAATGAATTAGGAAAGAATATCATCTATGAATTTGTTTCAAAATGTTCAGCATAGTGTTTTACTCAATTCTTACTAAGGACACAACGGTAGTTTACTGACATCTTCACGCTGATTACTATACTAAATGCATAGATCAAATTTGAAAGTTTCACTAAATTGCAGATGAAACTATTTAGAAATAAGAATTAAAAGATAAGCACATTCGATATGTGTACTACTCAGTAGATCAGATTAAAACAATCAAGATTAGAGTTTGAATGAAACTTTGCAGTATACTACCATGAAGAAGCTGATAGCATTATGAGCTCATAAATGAAGTTGATTGAATTCAAATTCATTATTGATTGATGAAGAAAATATTAAAAGTTCTAACGTATATGAAAAGATAGCCCACTGTACCATTGATATATGTAGCGACTTCCAAAATTATTCGACCACGTTTATTTTCAATGTTTTTTCTGCTACTGTAAACGCTAAGGAAAATCCAAATTATGATTTTAGTAGAGAATCTTATTTCCGGCAAGAATTGTTCAACAATATAAACTATGGTTAGTTTCCCAAGAATAGAGTTTGTAAAAAATCCAAAACAAAGTTTTTCAGCTCCTGAGAGTTTATAATTAGAGTTCTATGGAATTGTTCAAAATGATAGAGCAAATAGTTCTCTGCAAAATGAAATGTCTTCCAGCTCTCTATAATGTATCTTGGCAGAGATACATCAATCTTTGTGCCTTCTGTATGATTGATCTATTTCAGTCAAAAAAATATCGTAGAGAGTTGGAAGATGTTTCATTTTGTAGAAAATTGTTTGCTCTATCATTCTTGATAGTTGCAAATGAATTTTATTTGTCGAGTTTGAAATAGTATTCTCTATTAAAGAAAATCTTTTTGTACTCTTCTTGGTGTTTACGACAGTGAACAAACTTTGAAAATAAACCTAGTTGAATAACTTTGGAAGTTAGTGTATATAAAGAATTATTTAAGATTCGGTGGAAACCATGAAAAAGAAAAGTTGTTTCCAGACTTTCTATTTGAATTGTCTCATCTATTATGAATTCAGGTCGAATCAGTTCACTTTTATCGTTGCGATTATATCAAACGATTGTGTTCACTCTCTCAAAAAACGGTCATAGATAATAGAATTTAAGACGATGAAATAATCCGACAAAAAAAATCAAAAGTGGATTATAGAATTAAAATAACTGGTTCTCAATTATTTTATCTGTCGTTGTTTTCTTCATCTACAATTTTCGTTAATTTAAATAAATCTAGTGACATTGTTTTAACTGATCTTGCTAGAAGCATTGTCAAAACAGGGTACTGTGATTCAATCTTTAGATTCAGAACTTTTGTAACTCAATTCTAAATTCTCTCTAATGAATATTAATTATCTATAGTTCTTTTTGTTTAGTGGCTTTCTAAATCTCGACTTGTCGATGAAAACGTACGAAGTATGTGGGAAAGTATGGTTAATATGAAAATTCATATTATTGCTATGCTCGATTCAGATAATGATGGGTAAATTAATTTTGTAAAAAAAAAAATTAATTTCATATTTGAATATTTTAGACTTCGTACAGTGGCTATTAAATTTATTGAAATGCTTGCACTTGTTTTATCAAGACGTACACAAGTAAAAATAA